CCAGGCTGGGCTGCCCAGGGCGCGCCCGCTGTTGCCCCGGGGCCTGAGAAGGGGCCACAGCTTCAGTGCCCTCCTCGGTGGGAAGACTCGTGTGGCAGAGGGAGGAGTCCAGGGAGGACCCGGAGAAGCAGGGAGGGGCGGGGCTCAGGCGCCCCAACATCCTGCCCGGCCGGTTCCCAGCCTCACCCCTGCCCTGAGCTCCTCCGCTTCATCCACGGAGCAGGGCAGGAAGACCGGGAGGTGAGGGTGCAGGCTGAGTCTCGCGGTGGGACCTGGGACTCACGGGCACGATCACAGAGACACACACACACACACACATGTGCGCGCAAAGTGCACATACACACAAAACACACACTAGCACAGGCAAAATGCATATACACAAAACACTAACATACATGCAAAATGCAAACACACAAAACACACACACACAAAGTGCATAGACACACAAAACACACACACTAACACAGGCAAAATGCACATACACAAAACACTAACATACATGCAAAATGCAAATACACAAAACACACACAAAATGCATATACACAAAATACACACACATGCAAAATGCATACACACACACACACACACACGTGCCTGTGGAACCAGAGACTGAGACGGGCCATGGATGGTCTCACACAGCGCGTTCGTCACGCAGGACGGCTGGAGGCAGCAGGGCCCTCCTCGCAGAAGTTTTTGAAAATCATTACACACACACACCTCCCAGTGGATGCCCTTAGTGTGGGAAACAACCTGACTTCGACAACGAAAGGCAGACCAAAGAGGGGCACGGGGTGTTCCAGGAGCCAGGGCTGCCACCCCCCAGCCCTGCGGGAGGCACGGCCCATTGCTCCTGCCCCCACCCCTGCAGCCCTGCTGCCCAGCCGGCTCCAGCTGGCTTTGTGTCCCAGCAGCGACCACCCTGGCCTGTGGCCGCTCCAGGTTGGGTCTGGGGTCCCCAGGGAGCCGTCAGCCTTTGCACCTGAGCCCAGAGCTTCCCAGCCACGTTCACACCGTCTCCTTTGCTTGCAAGGAAGCCTCAGCCGCCTTCTCTCAGCGGGCCCGCGGCCGGGGACAGGCAGGGCTGCGCGGGGACTCGGCCCGGACCTCAGCCCTCGGGAGCCCCGGGACTCCAGCACTTGCTCAGCCCCCAGGCGCTGCTGCTGGCTCCAAACCAGCCGAGCCCGAGGGCGGGCCGGGCCGGCTGCGAAGGGGCCAGGACACTGCTGCCACCACACTTGCCCAACTCTGTGTGTGTCCCCTCCAGAACGGAAGCCAGGGCAGGGGAGGGGCCGTGCGTGGGGGCGTGGCAAGGCCAAGGGCAGATCCCGCTCCCCCACGTCCCACCTCCCCGAGGCCACAGGCACCCTGGGCTGGGGCCATCCCCGGGCTGTTCCTTAGCACCTCAGCCTGGGCCCGGGGCCAGCCTTGAACTAAAGAGGAAAAGGCCGCGGAGGAGCGAGGGGACGCTTTCAGCCCTTCCCAAAGACCCCGTTAGTCACTCCCGTGCGTGCGCTGAGGAGAGAAGGCGAGAGACGCGACAGGTGTCAGCAAGAACGCCCCTGCCCCCGGACCCCAGCCACTCTGGGGTCCCGAGAGCGCTGGCCATGAGAACTTCCGGAGGACGACGCCTCTGTTCTTTCCGGAAGCTTCCTCCACGCGGCCGGCACCTGACCTGTGCCTTTCTATGCACTCAAGCGTGGGCAGCCATGTGGCAGCCGCAGACAGTGAGACAGGCAGGTGCCTCTGGCGAGGGCGGGATGGTCCCGGGCGGGCGCCAGAGTACGCGGCCGAGCAGTGAGAAGCTTCTCGCCCTGGAAGCTCGGGGCGCTGCCCCCGGGGGAGCTTGCTGAGGACACAAACCAGAGCCTCCCCCACGCGGCCCAAACCCCAGGGGGCTCCGGCGACACAGCTCAGGGAGCTGCTGCTGGTGTCCTGGGGTGGGGGCCAGCGTGCTGCCCCCCATCCTGCCTGCGATGCCAGCCACACCCAGGCTGAGAAACGCTGGCTTCACCAAACAGGGACTGCGATCCCCTCAAAGTAAAAAGGTTTCCAGGACTGTCCGGACGTTAGTCATGGCCAGATCCGTATCACCACCTCCAGGCAAGCCGCCTCTGACTGCTCCTCCCTCTGCCCGGGCTCGGCATCCCTTACCAGGGACCGCCCCCACCTGTGTTTGCCCCACAGTTGCCTTTGCCATCAGAGTGAGGGTCACATGCCCCCCCCCCCGACTAGGCTGCTGTTCTGTCTCCCCCACCCACGTACAGCTCGAGACAACAACTCCTACTATCTGCGCACCGAGGCTAGAACCCACCGAGGGGCGGCAGCCATCATCCTGGGGTGTTTTCTGCGGGAAGCCTGGGGGCGGGGTGGCAGGGCACAGGGTGCAGGAGAGGCGCTGGGTCTTAAGCTAAGGGCTCTTGGCGTTGTCTCCACACAGGCGCACGGGACAGGTGGTGGGATCCTGTCCTATAGCGATTCTCTCAATCCCCATGAAGTTCTCTGGGAAGCTAGTGTCACCTCCCAGGAGCCTGCCCCCCCCCCCCCCGCCGTGCAACGTGGCCACCCGCAGGTTTGCAGAGTGAACAGTGGGGCCCTGTATGACAGTGACAGGGTTTCTGGAAGGGGTCAGCAGGTCGGGAAGCCAGGAGAAGCCTCGTGAGTGACAGCACGGGCTGCAGCCTGGAGCCCGCCCTGGGCCCTGCCAACAAAGCACTGTCGGCAAACACCCCCCCACCCCCACCCCCACCCAGGTGCCCCAGACAACCCTGCATGCAGAAGCAGAGCCACGCACACCTCACCCCGCCACAGCCACCCCAGGGCTAACCAGTGACGGCCAGGACAGGCGACGACAGGTGCGTCTCCGGCAAGGGAAGATAACCCACGGCTACAACATGCACCTGTGTGTGGGGGGGGGTCCATGGCTACAACATGCACCTACCTGTGTGTGTGTGGGGGGGGTCCATGGCTACAACATGTACCTGTGTGTGGGGGGGGTTCATGGCTACAACATGCACCTGTGTGGGGGGGGGGTTCATGGCTACAACATGCACCTGTGTGTGGGGGTCCATGGCTACAACACGCACCTGTGGGGGGGGTTCATGGCTACAACATGCTCCTGTGGGGGGGGGGGTCCCTGGCTACAACATGCTCCTGTGGGGGGGGGTTCATGGCTACAACACGCACCTGTGGGGGGGTTCATGGCTACAACATGCTCCTGTGGGGGGGGGTTCATGGCTACAACATGCTCCTGTGTGTGGGGGGGTCCCTGGCTACAACATGCACCTGTGTGTGAGTGGGGGGGGTCCATGGCTACAACATGCACCTGTGTGTGTGAGTGGGGGGGGGTCCATGGCTGCAACATGCACCTGTGGGGGGGGGTTCATGGCTACAACACGCACCTGTGGGGGGGGTTCATGGCTACAACATGCTCCTGTGGGGGGGGTTCATGGCTACAACATGCACCTGTGGGAGGGGGGGTCCATGGCTACAACATGCTCCTGTGGGGGGGGGGTCCCTGGCTACAACATGCACCTGTGGGGGGGTTCATGGCTACAACATGCTCCTGTGGGGGGGGTCCCTGGCTACAACATGCACCTGTGTGGGGGTTCATGGCTATAACATGCACCTGTGGGGGGGTTCATGGCTACAACATGCACCTGTGAGTGGGGGGGGTTCATGGCTACAACATGCACCTGTGGGGGGGTTCATGGCTATAACATGCACCTGTGGGGGGGGTTCATGGCTACAACATGCTCCTGTGGGGGGGTCCATGGCTACAACATACACCTGTGTGGGGGGTCCATGGCTATAACATGCACCTGTGTGTGGGGGTTCATGGCTACAACATGCACCTGTGAGTCGGGGGGGTTCATGGCTACAACATGCTCCTGTGGGGGGGTCCATGGCTACAACATGCACCTGTGGGGGGGTCCATGGCTACAACATGCACCTGTGGGGGGGTTCATGGCTATAACATGCACCTGTGGGGGGGGTTCATGGCTACAACATGCTCCTGTGGGGGGGGTTCATGGCTACAACATGCACCTGTGGGGGGGTCCATGGCTACAACATGCACCTGTGTGGGGGGGGGCTCATGGCTACAACATGCACCTGTGAGTGGGGGGGGTTCATGGCTACAACATGCACCTGTGGGGGGGTTCATGGCTATAACATGCACCTGTGGGGGGGGTTCATGGCTACAACATGCTCCTGTGGGGGGGTCCATGGCTACAACATACACCTGTGTGGGGGGTCCATGGCTATAACATGCACCTGTGTGTGGGGGTTCATGGCTACAACATGCACCTGTGAGTGGGGGGGTTCATGGCTACAACATGCTCCTGTGGGGGGGTCCATGGCTACAACATGCACCTGTGGGGGGGTCCATGGCTACAACATGCACCTGTGGGGGGGTTCATGGCTATAACATGCACCTGTGGGGGGGGTTCATGGCTACAACATGCTCCTGTGGGGGGGGTTCATGGCTACAACATGCACCTGTGGGGGGGTCCATGGCTACAACATGCACCTGTGTGTGGGGGGGCTCATGGCTACAACATGCACCTGTGAGTGGGGGGGGTTCATGGCTACAACATGCACCTGTGGGGGGGTTCATGGCTATAACATGCACCTGTGGGGGGGGTTCATGGCTACAACATGCTCCTGTGGGGGGGGTTCATGGCTACAACATGCACCTGTGGGGGGGGTTCATGGCTACAACACGCACCTGTGGGGGGGGTTCATGGCTACAACATGCACCTGTGGGAGGGGGGGTCCATGGCTACAACATGCTCCTGTGGGGGGGGTCCCTGGCTACAACATGCACCTGTGTGGGGGGGTTCATGGCTATAACATGCACCTGTGGGGGGGTTCATGGCTACAACATGCACCTGTGTGTGGGGGGGGTCCATGGCTACAACATGAACCTGTGGGGGGTCCATGGCTACAACATGCTCCTGTGAGTGGGGGGGGCCCAAGGCTACAACATGCACCTCTGTGTGTAGGGGGTGATCCATGTCCATCTGATGATGGACGCGTTTATTCAGAGAACATCTGGGGTGGGGGGCGAGGCCTCCCAGAGCCCGGCCTGGAAGACATCTGCTTAAAACTCGGAGAAGGCTCCCGGGGTGGAGACTGGCTGGGCCACAGGCCCTGTGCCCGGGATGGTGACAGGGCCCCGAGGCCAGGCAGGGCCAAGCTGGGAGGGAGCAGCGCCTGTCTCGGGGACCCTGCGGCCACGCTCTGCCGAGAAAGGGGGACCTCCGGGGGTCAGCGTTCCCCAGCTGCTTCCGAGGCTTCTAGAATGTTCTTGGGAACAGGCTGGAAAGGAAGCGAAGCAGGGGTGAGCAGGAGCCTCTCTGGGGCAGGACGTGGGGTCACGACCCCGCTCATGCTCACCCCTCCCCTAATTCCCAGGAGGAGCTCAGCTTTGGCCACGGTCAGATGCCGCATCCCTGTGCCGTCAGCCTGGCTGTCACCCCACTTGGTTCCCCACACTTCCCCCGCTGTCTCCCCCACTTTACAGAGGAGGAAACCGAGGCTTGAGGGTGGAACCGCGTGCTCGGGTCACCGGGTGGTCGAGCGAGAATCCGACCCCAGGCCCTGCTGGCTCCCCGCCTGCGCTCTCTTTCTCATGCCCGGGCCCCGACTGCCCCGCTCAGAGTTCAGAGTCCTGGGCTGCGGCAGACTCGCCCCAAGCCCCGCCGTCAGCGGATAAAGGACCGCTGCACGCCCCATAGGTTCCAGATCTTCCTGGAGGTCTCGGCCCTGAAGATTCTGGAATCCGAAAGCTGACATTTGCATTTCCAGGGCTCTCCGGGGGTCACCCGCTGTCCAGGTCACTCCGGGGGTCACCTGCTGTCCAGGGTACCCCGGGGGTCACCTGCTGTCCAGGGCACCCTGGGAGAGGCACCTGCTGTCCAGGGTACCCCGGGGGAGGCACCTGCTGTCCAGGGTACCCTGGGGGAGGCACCTGCTGTCTAGGGCACCCCCAGGGGTCACCCATTGTCCAGGACATCCTGGGGGGCACCCGTTGTCCAGGGCACCCCAGAGTCACCAGCTGTCCAGGGCACCCCAGGCGGCACCTGCTGTCCAGGCTTCCTTTGCCCCGCATGGCGGCTTTCCCAGGGGCTGGGTTCACAGGCTGAGACCCCTGGGTGCTGTGAGCCCAGGTCCTCGCTCCAGAGTGCCGAGGGCAGCACCTGGGCCACCCGTCACCTCCGTGCGCAGCCTCCTGTGGCCTCTCTCCTTCCCGCAGTGGCCCACCTCTGCTTCCTCAGCTCCTGACCTGGGACTCTGTGCTTCCGGCTCCCTCTGCCTGGCACCAGTGCCTTCTCCACCCCCATCCCCACCCTCACCCCCCAGCAGAACCTTCTGATCTTCAGATCATGGCAACGGGCCCCCTGCCTGGCCACTCTTAGCCACAGCACCTGTTCCTTCTCTTTCTGACAACAGGTACAGTCCTGCACCTGCTGGCCCGCTCCCAGCACACGAGCCCAGGACAGCAGGGGCTTCATCAGACTGGCTGCCCGCCGCTCTGGGGGGCACACCAGACGTTCAGTCCCTGCCGCTGGGTGACCGTGTGCCCGGCACCAGCCACTGGGTCACTGCTCTGGTTAGCAGCATCTGACAGAGGGGGGAAGTTGGCATTGCGGTGGAGGACTGGAGAGGGTGGTAACCCGGGTCTCCCAGGGCTGTCGGACATGTGCCGAGCTCTCCCAGCTTCCCTGGGGATCCCTCCAGGGCGCGCACCCCACCTCTGCCGGGCCTCGTGCTGAGAAAAGCTGCCCAGGCCAGCTGGCCCCCCGGGCCCCAGCCCTGCCGTCCACGGCCCCTCACCTGCCTGTCGCTGGCTTACTGGAAGCGCCTCAGCAGCCGCCCGCCAGCCTCCGCCACGTTCTTTGAGTCGCCCTCTGCGAAAAGAGGAGGGTCTGTCGGGGCAGGCGACCACTCCTGCTTGGATGGACGCTCGCCGGCCATGGTCACGTCCACTCCAGTGCCAGCCTGGCCTGCTGACCGCCCTGTGCCTGACCCCAGAGCAGGCTGCTCAGCCCCTCCTCCACACGTGGCCCTGGTCCTGCACAGCCCGCACCACTGCCTAGTGGGGGTCTCCCGCCTGTCGTCCTTGTCCTCAGTCCGAGCCATCCTGTCTGTGTGTCTAAGGGGTCTCGGTGTCACCCGTGGCGGGACGTCACCGCGGGGTGTCGTGAGACAGCCATGTGACTTTAGGAGCGCTTGGCTTTCCTGCTGGGTGGTGAGCCCCGTGACGGGGCGGGGCCTGTCGCGGCCTCTGGCAGAGGGTACGGAGTCACGCTCGTTCAGTGTGTGCTGTGAGTCCATGGTGAGGACAGGCGAGGACGGATGGGGTGGGGGGGGGGAGGGAAGGAGGAAGGATGGGTGAGTTGGGGGGGGTATGGATGGACGGCCGGGTCAGTGAATGGATGGGTGCCTGGGTGGGTGGATGGAGAGGTTTCTGGGTGCCTGGGTGGGTGGTAGGTGGATGGGCAGGACGGTGGATGTGTGCATGGATTGGTGAACGGATGGGCGGTAGAAAGATGGTGCCGGCCACGTTTCCCAGTTCCCTGGATGACAGCAGGAGATTAAGCGTGTCCGGCCGCCGGTGTGAGGCCGTGTGTACCGAGAGCCCCTCTGTGGCTCGGACCTCCCCCGCCCAGCAGCAGACCGCAGGGCTCTGTGAACTGCTCGCTCCCAGCGTCCACGCCGCGTGGCGTGTCTTGGTGCTGGGCCAGAACGGTTCTTCCTCCCCCAAGAAACGCGCCCTCCCCTCGTCAGCGCCCTCTGCAGGGCGAGGGGGCCACCTCCTCACCTGGATACTCCTTGTAGGATTTGTGGCGCAGGAATCGCCCATCTGAAAAACACGCGAGAGGGGAAAACTTCTCTCAGGAGGGGGCAACGCCACGCTCCTCCTCCTGTGTGCCTGCTTTGGGAAAACACGGTTATTTTAGGAAAAATGTTATTTCTGTTTAATATCTGTTTGTATGCCTTTTAAACTTATTCGTGAGATACAGACACAGAGTGAGAGAGCCAACGCGTTTCCCTTCACAACAGCCAGGGCTGTGCCGGGGCCAGGAGCTGGAAACAGCCCAGGCCTCCCACATGGGCAGCAGGCACCCAGGTACTTGAGCGCTCACTGCTGTCTCCCAGGGGCTGCATCGCAGAAAAGTGGACTCGGGAGCCAGAAGTGGGACTCGAACCCAGGCCCTGGCATGTGGACACGGCGTCTTCACCAGGAGGCTGAACGCCTGCCCCCGGCTGCTAATTTTAAGTGACAAGTGCACATGCATCTTACTGCCTCAGCTTTACCTCCAGCAGCGTAACCACCCATGGCCATGACCACGAGAAGGGAGAGCCCCCCGGGGAGACTCTGGGATGTTTTCCAAGGGAGCCCTCCTCCCCTGGCTGAGTATCATTTATTACCCCAGGTGATCTCGTGGGGGTTTTAGCAAATGAACTTCCTGGGCTCTGAGCTTCGTGAATTCCACTTGATTCTTCCTGCCCAGCATCCCGCCACGGCCCGGAAGGGCACAGACTCCCTCCCTTCCACATCGGAGAGACCCCAACCCCAACAGAGAAAGGCACTGATGCCCTTGAACCCACTCTCCAAAGAACCAGCTTTGCCACACGAGTCGGCGTCTGTTCCCCGCTCAGAGAAGAGCCAGATCCTCGCGCGTCCTGTGCCAGCTGCCGGACAGCGACCCCCAGCAACCATCGGCACCCCAGAGGCCTCTCCCGGGGAACCCTGCACCTTAGGTGTGGGCACAGGGGCTGCACCTGGTTCTCACAGTCCCAGAGATGCACCTGCGGGCTCCGGTGGCGTGGGGACAGGACGAGGGGAGACAGGGAGCAAAGCACGCACAGCAAGTTCGTGCAACTTTTCTTAAATCTGAAATTATTTCAAATATGTAGAGAAAAAGCTAATAAAATGTAGGGGCTGGCATTTAGCCTACTGGTTAAGACGCTTGCGTTCCATGTTAGGGTACCTGGGTTCAATACCCGGCTCCAGCTCCCGACCCCAGCTGCCTGCTACCACTGAGCCCGGAGGCAGTGGTGATGGCCACCCTTGGGGGAGACCCATAGGCAACTCCTGGCTCCCAGCTGCGGCCTGGCCCAGTCCTGGATGTTGTGGGCATTTGGGGAGGGAAGCAGCAGATGAGAGCGCTCTCCCTCTTTTTCTGCCTCTAAAACAAATAAAATCATAATAAAAGAAAGGCCTCGTCCTTGGCAAAGCTGGGACAAGAGGGCTCCACTTCCCCTCTGGGATTTTCACTCTAAAGGAAGCTGTTGGAATTCAAGATGTGTCTAGGGGCCGGCACTGCGGTGCAGCGGGTTAAGCCACAGCCTGGGGTGCCAGCATCCTCCATGGGTGCCTGTTCCAGTCCCGGCCGCTCCACTTCTGATCCAGCTTCCTGCTAATGCACCTGGGGAAGCACTCTTTGCTTATCTGACAGATGGACGGACAGACAGACAGAGCTCTCAGCCACTGGGGCTGAGCTGGCCAAAGCCAGGAGCCAGCACCGCAATCCAGGTCTGCCACGTGGGCGGCAGGGCTCAGCCCATTGACCCCCATCACCTACCACGGTGCCTTTCCCGAAACATCGCAGAGAAGGGAGTTATCAGCCCGAGGTGGGGTCGGGGAGGGCGGTGGCGGGCCACGCTCCCTGCCGTGTCCTTTCGCCCCACGCGGTCACTGCAGGCACCGGCTGCACCGGGGGCTTCCCAGAGCTGCCAGGGCTGCGACTCGCAGAGGTGGGACCAGGCCTCGGACGCGCAGCCCCAAACCAGCAGAAGCCTGCCTCTGACCAGGCGAACCGAGAGTCCTGGCACGTGCCCGATGTGGGCAGGCGTCCAAACGCAGGCTCAGGCCCCGACCCGCCGGACCTCTCCCGCTCCACGAGCCACGAGCGGTGGGTTTTAGAAGCTACTGGAATCCCTGCTGCACCCTCTCCATCCCGGGGACAACTGTGCAAAGCAGAACCCGTCAGCCCTGGTCTGCCAACTCCAGTCCCGGCAGGCGTCCTGGGACCGAAGCTCTCTGGGGGACTCGGGCTGTGTGACATGGAGGTTGGGTCGCCACTGCCTGCTGACCCCCTGTGGCCTGCCCTGCACTGCGGGCCACACACGTATGACGTCAGTGGATCCGTGGAACAGCATGGAGTAGCCCCATCTTACGGATGAGAAAACTGAGGCTCAGATGTGAACGAATGGAACCAAACGTGGCCCCCCCCAGGAGGCGCAGAGCCGGGATCTACAGGACACAGAGGGGCAGGACCAGGCCCGGTCAGGGTGTGTGGGGGGGTGCTCCCTGGGGCGGGGCTGTGGGGAGAGTGGGTGGGCACGGGCTCTGGGCGCCCACACTCACCTGCCGGCCTGCGCTGCTTGACGCACTGCCCGCGGTTGGGGATCCCCTCGGCCACGTCCCCCGGGCTCAGGATGTGGCACTCGTAGCCCGAGGGACAGAGCAGTGGCTCCGCGCCGTCCTCCGTGGTACTGCAGGCCTCAGCTGGGGGAGGGACGCATGGGGGTCTCAAGGGGCGGCCCACCTCACAGGTGCACAGGCAGGCAGCAGTGTGACCCCCAACTCCACCCAGAACACACACCCAGGCCTGCAGTCACACGCATACACACCCACAAAGCTGACACGTGCAGCCACACATCCAGCCACGAGGGCAGAGACACAGCCGCACCCCACGGGTGCTCATTCCAGAAACTTCTCTCCGCCCCTCCTCCAGGAAGGTGGCCTCGTCACCAGGCAGCAGCGAACCCAGTTACAAACTCAGGGCTCTGCAAACCAGCCCCACGCCCCTTTCTTCCCATCCCCACCAGCAGAGGCCAACTCGCTGCTGGCCAGAGTCCAGCCCGCCTCCCGTCCTGGAGAACCCGAGAGCCGCCAGCCCCCCGGCCGTGGCTGGACAGGCGGGCACGGCGGTGCCGTGGGGCCTGGCCTTTACCTTGGAGCACCTCCTCGGGGCCGTCCAGGAGCCAGCCGTTGCCACCAAGCCATCGGGGTTTCGGCTGCACCAGCCAATCTAAAACTAACAGAGCGTGGTCACAGCACCGCCCCTGCCCCCGGCCTCTCTTTGTCCCTGCCTCACCCAGGGCCTCACCCACCTGCTTTCCCGGGAACCACGTGGGCGCCCCTCCCCCATGCCCTCTGGGGCCCGCTTTGGAGCTAAGACCTCGGGCAGGATGGCGGTGAGGACGGCCAGGAGCTCTGGGCAGCCCGGCACACTGCCAGCTGTCGCCTCGCCCGGGACCCGCTTTGGAGCTAAGACCTCGGGCAGGATGGCGGTGAGGACGGCCAGGAGCTCTGGGCAGCCCGGCACACTGCCAGCTGTCGCCTCGCCCGGGACCCACGGCTCTGGAGTGGAGATTGGTCCCCGAGCGAGCACGGGGCACAGCCTACAGGCAGTGTCGCTGTCCCAGCTTAGGGAGTGGGATTTTCCTCCTGGCCTCCAGTCAACACGTCATAGTGCACGGGACCCCCACGCGCCCCCACCCTGCCCAACCCCCAGGTGGCAGAGTCAAGGCTGGGGGACCCCCGCGGGGCGTCTTCGGTGCTGTCCCTGGTGTTACTAATGGTCGGACGGCTGCACGGCCAGACAGCTCCCCCTGCTGGCCGCTCTCTCACCTCCTGTGCGGGGCTGGGAGGGACAAAGGGCAGGGAGAATGGTCCCAGGACACAGACATTTGGGAACGGGGCTCCAGAGAGTGAGGACAGTGGGGAGTGGCCGGGGGAGGGGCTGCCACCAAGAGAGTGGCACAGGGGCGTGAGGGAGGCAGGAAGTGAGCCCTGTGTGTGTGTGTGTGTGGGGGGGTGTTCCAGACAATGAGGGCCCCCCAACACTGGCCCAGGGGCAGCAGGGTCCCCAACCCCACACTGGGAGCACGCACACACACTTGTCTATGGTCAGACCTCAGGACCCCCTGGCAGCTCTGCCTGCTGGGCGACCAAGGACAAGCAACTGGGCTTCTCTGAGCTCCCCCGGTCTCAGCTGTGAAGTGCCGCAGCTGGCAGGCTCTCCCCATGGAACTGTGCGAGCGTGAACAGGAGACGCACAGAAAGCTACCACCGGGAAGGCTGTGTCCCGTGGAGGAAGGGGCACACTTCCGATCGGCCAGCCAGGCCGGTGCCTGCACCGCTCCTCCGGCAGAACGCAGGGTCGCTCCTTCTCATGGACGCTGGCGGGAGGCGGCCTGCCCCTGCGCTGCCCAGAGCTGGTCCTCCGGCTGCCATAAGGAGCCTATGGAGGGTGCTGGGGCCCTGGCACCACTGTGACCTCACGGCCACCCCCACCTCCAGGGGTGGAGGCCACCGCCTCGGGTCCCTCTGGGAGTTAAGGCCGCAGCCTGCCGCAGGGGCTTGTGTTAGCGGCCGGCTCAGTCTCGGGTACAGCTGAGGGTGGGGGGCTCACTGCCCCACCTCGTGCCCACCCAGGGCGGAGCCGCCTGTCCCCGGCCCCAGCCCTGGCCGCAGCCAGACCTCCCCAGGAGGACTCTGCGCCTCCTTCCGCCAGCTCCGCCCTCGCCCGGCTGCGCACCGCGACCTCTGCACCTGGCACTGCTCAGCCGCTGCCGCTCAGCCCTGCCCTGCGGACCCGGGCACACCCAGCTGGACAGGGACTTGCACCCAGAGCCCCGTACAGAGCCAGGCACCACCAGTGGAGAGGCCTGGGAGACCCGGGAGACGAAGGGGCTGCACCCACGGGCGGAAGCTGACATGGACTCAGGAGAGAGCTCAGGCAGCCCACCATCTCCCCTCAGTGCACCCAGCAGGGCGCCGCCCAACACGCCGCTCTGTGGCCCTGGTGGGGGTCGCCCAGGTCCCTCTTCCCACCACCCTGGGGCCCCGGGCGCCTACCTGGTGGGGGCGGCACGGCCTCCAGGCAGGCATAGGCGCAGCCGTTGTAGCAACAGCGTCGGTGCCGTGGGCACTCGGAGTCAGCCTGGCAGCGCGCGGCCTGGCAGGCACCAGGGGGCAGTGTCCGCGGCGGCGGGGGACAGCGGTCGGCACGGGGCTGCCGGAGGCCGCCAGCACCCCCCTCCTCGGTCTGCAGAGAGGAGGCAGAGGGCAGTGTCAGTGCTCTGGGACTGCACAGAGCTGGAGCTGCGCGCTCCGAACCCGGGAGACGCCCTGGGGCGCCCCGAGGGTGAAAGATGGCGCGGCACAGAACGTCCCAGACAGCGGAGCCCAGCGCCTCTGCGTGTGTGCGTGCACCGTCCGTCTCAGGGTCTGCCTCGATGCACACGCGAGTGTCCGTGCATGCTGGGTGTACACACGTGGGTGTACACAGTGGGTGCACACATGTGTACACGGTGGGTTTACGAGTGTATCGCATGATGAGTGTCCACAGTGTGTGCACTGGGTGTGCAGGTGTGTGCCTTCGCACACGTGTATGCACAATGGGTTTACGTGTTTGTGTGCATGCTGGGCATACGTGAGCATGTGCACAGGGGGCTTACATGTGTGTGTCTGCACTCTGGGTGCACATCTGTGTGCACATGCTGGGTGTACACAAGTGTGTGCACACGTGTGCACACATGCTGGGTGTATCCGTGTCTGCACACCGGGTGCACACGTGTGTGCGTGTTCGAAGGCACCCGTGGACCCGGGCACTTCTGTGCTGAGCCCTCGGTGGATTCCAGCAGCTTAGGCCAGAACCCGCCCCAGCCCCGCCGTGACCTGCGAGGTCTGTGCCAGCCCCGCCTCACCGCTCGTCTCCCCAGCGCCCATCACTGGGCGCCAGCACCCTGTCTTCCTCTCCCCAAGCCCTCCAAGGAGTCCCACCTGAAGGCCTCTGCCTTGGCGGGGAGCACCCTCCCTCTCCAGACCTCCCCTCCGCCGAGAGGCCCTCCCCTACTGCACCATCCGACCGCCAGCTCACGGCATTGCCTTCCTCCCTCAGACCCTCAGACCCCGCAGTGGAGGGGGAACCGCCGCGGGCCGCCGGCGAGCATCAGGACCTCAGTCCTTAAGATGCGGGTGACAAACGGCACCGCCTTCCGCGAGCTCTGTGCGGCCGAAGAGAGCGTGACAGCAGCCGCCAGGACGTGCCTGGCCCCGGCCCCCGCCACTCCCTGGGCCCGAAGACCCTGCCCCTCATGCCCCCTCCCCCTCTTCAGTCTCAGAATCAGTGACCTCTCCCAGGCCGCCTTCCCGGGGACGCCCAGGGCCTTGGCTGGGAGCTCCATGCACTGCTGCCCATGCCCAGTAGGGGGAGCCGAGTCACCGGGAACCGATCCCGACCAGGGAACTCCGGACTGGGGGCGCCAGCGCTCAGCCCCGGTCCGGGGAGCCTGGGGGCAGGATGGGGCGAGGGGTGGCCTGAGGCGGGTGGGCCCCTGTCCTATGCCCCTGACACCTGGCGAACTCATCTCTCCCTCTTGTATGCCAATCATGGCGTCCAGGAAAGGAGAAACAGGCACCAAGGCCGAGTGGGGGGATAAGGAGAAGCAGGTGCGGAGGCGGGTGCCGAAGTGGGAGGTGGGTGCGGGTGTGGGAGGCGGGTGCGGGTGTGGAGGCGGGTGTGGGAGGCGGGTGCGGGTGTGGAGGCGGGTGCGGAGGCGGAGGCGGGTGTGGGAGGTGGGTGCGGGTCGGGAGGTGGGTGCGGAGGCAGAGGCGGGTGGTTTCCCCTGGATTCAAGGAGGCAGGGGTCCATGTCGGTTACCCCCCCCAGTCCCCCCAAATTCCTCAGCTTTGGAGCTGCAGCAGGGGGCCTAGTCCCACGCCACCCGCTCTTCGCTCATTTCCTGCAGAATGAACTAAGCTGGGCCCAGGCCGGGGCCGCCATTCGCACCCCTAATCTGCCGCGACAGCTGCTGGGCTGGGAGGTGATTAAGGAGGCGCCGCGGCAGGAGACGGCACCGCCGATTTTCCGCTCAGCCTGATTCACGCTGAGCCTCGTTTATGGGATTTAATGGGCACTGGAGATCAGAAGCGAACGCCGTCGCCGCCTCCCACCCGGAGACCCCCACCCCGCGGTAGCCCCGGCCGAGCGGGTGGGGTGAGAATCAGACGCGAGGCAGCCGGACACAGCTCTGAATTTGGAGAGCTCAAAAAGAGAGAAGCACCTTAGAAGCTGAACCTCCCGAGTTATTTCCCACGCACGGCCGAACGAAGATGGCCGGGGTGATGACCAGGTTCCCCCAGCCCCGACGGCAGCGTGGGGGAGAAACCGGATGTCTGGCGAGGGGAGGCTCGTGTGGGGCTTCACCGAGGGGCTGGCCTGGGTCTGAGAAGGGGCTGGCGTTAGAACCGTCGCCTGTCATGGCCTTCCCAGCCGCTGCAGGGTAAGGGGGTGAATGGTCACAGTCCCTGGGCCTTGGCCTAAAGGCCAGAGCACCCCCACCCCGCTGGCACTTTGTCCCACTGTGGCCCTCCCCGCCCACTTTACAGATGGGGAAATTGAGGCCCAGAAATATGGAAGACACTTGTCCGAGCTCATCGGCAGCAGAGGGCCAGATCTGAACGCGGGTCTCTCTGGCTTCTCCAGGGCGAGCCTGTGGGGCTCCCCTGTTCCTCCAGGCTCAGCCCCCCCAGGCCCTCCCCCAACACACATGACCACCCTCTGCCCTGCTCCCGCTGAGAAACTGCCCCGCAGCTCACCCCCAGGGGCGGCCGCTCAGCACCCCGGGGCACCGTCCCTGCCCCAAGCCTGCGGGCAGCCGCCTCGGGGCAGCCGCCCGCCACCTTGACCTTGTGGCGCAGCTCACACGGACCTCCCCCGGGAAAAAATGATGCCCCCGGGGCCAGCTCTCTGGAGGCCCCCATGGACTGGCAACGCCGCGCGAGCCATCCTCAGGAAGCCAGATCCGGAACCGCCAGCTCTGGGGTCGGCCAGGGGGACGCCACGTCTGCAGGTCCGAGTCCCGACTCGCCTAAGCCTACCAGCCTGGCTCTCCAGCCACCGGGGGCCGGACACGCACATGGAGGCACGGCGGGCGCGGGCGCATCACGCAGCCTGCGGAGAAACATCTTGTCACACGTGATGACACACAAGCCCCCGCTGCCCCAGGCGTGCAGAAGCCAGACGCAGAGCGCCGTGACGTCGCATGATTCCGTTTCCACGCAATGTTGGCAACAGGCAAACCAGGGACGGGGCGGGGAGAGGAGAGTGGGGCGCAGCTGCCTCACAGCCTGGGGGGCTTTTCGGGTTGATCCTGTGCAAACAGAGGCGGGGGCTGTGCACGACCCAGTGCCACCCAGCTGTCTGCTTAAAACAGCTCACTTCTATCTCGATAATTTCATCTCCATTCAATGAAAACAGTTTAACCAGCAGGAATGACAGCGCCGTGTATAACCGCCTCATGGAAAAGTCTGGAACCCCACACGCAGCGCAGAACACGCCACACGCAGCGCAGAACACGCCACACGCAGCGCAGAACACGCCACACGCAGCGTAGAACACGCCACACGCAGCGTGCCGCCCGAGCTCCCGCCTTGCCAGACGCCCACGCTTCGCCCTCGGCTCTGACTTACTGTGTGGTCCGAAAACATCACTATTTTCATGGCCAGCAGCAACTGACGCTGCTCCCATGTAGGGGAGAAGAATCCAGTGTGCTGCCCCCTCCCCCGCAGCCCTCCCCGGCGCTCGCCGCCAGCCCCGCTTCACCCTTGCCTGGAATGTTCTGGGACTCCGCGGCCCAGCCGCTGACAGCGCGCCCAGGGCCGGCTTGCCGGATGGAGGAGGAAGGCCGACTTCCCTCGGAGCCCCGCTCGCTCTTACGTCCACGTGAAAAGTCTAAGAATACAGCTCTCCCTGGAGCAGCCTGCACTGGGCTCGGCCCGCTGACGGCTGCCTGTTCCTGTGCCCCTGCCCCACAGGCACCTCGGGGCGCCCCCTGCGGGTGCCCGGCACCCTGAACCTCACAGGAACGCGGACCCCACCACCTCCTGCCGTCAGTGCACCTGAAAGTCTTCTGGAAACTTCCACCCCCCCTCCGCGGTTCCAGCAGGCGTTTGCTGTGTATTTGTTCCCCATCCCCAAATTTGTCGTGCGGGGCCTCCGAGGTCTTGGGCCCCGGCCCGCTGTGGGACTGAGCTGGCTGGAATACGTGGTGCTTCCCGGATGACAAACAGCGTGTGCCAAGGTCGCCCGCAGAGCAGTGGGCAGTGGGGTCAACGCTGCCCGTGAGGCCGCTCACGTCGGGGGAAAGCTGCTCGGTCGCTCGGGGGACAGAACCGGGTCCCCAGTCCGGCACGCAAGCTCCCAGGGGTCCCACAGTTTGTCCAGGGGCTCCCCAGAGTGGGCCTGGCCAGCATCTGGCCTCAGTGGGTGCTAAGTCGTGGTTCTCATGGGTAAGCTCAACTCAGAAGCCTGACCCTGACCCTGACCCTGACCCCGGCCCCCGGCCCCAGCCCCGGGGGAGGTGGCGAAGGGCCCTGCCCTGCTGCCTTTGGCCGCCTTGGGGTGGGGCTGCCGTCTTCCCTGTCTGCAGGGTGGAGCCAAGCAGCAGACGCTGCGCCAGGTGCCCCAGTGAGAGGAAGCAGCTGGAGGTCACGGAGCCGCGGCGGCAGGCCGGGGTCTCTCGTGGGAAGTCCCCGCAGGGCGTCCCTCTCTGGCACTGTCCCCAGCGGCTTGGACAGTGAAGCATAAACAGTGCTCAGGAAATGAACCAGCGCGCTCTGACCCAGGGGCCGGACCCCTAAACAAAGCCCTGCCCGCGAGGGGGCTTGGGAAGGGAGGGGCCGGCGGCCGGATGCAGGCAGCCCCGCTCTCCACCTGCAGCCGCGGCTGCTCTCCACGGGGCCGCTCGCTCGATCAGTGCACCGTGGCTGAGTCCAGGCCTTCGCCGCGAGACGCTGGACCAGGAGCCAGGGCCAGGCGAGGCTGCGCTGCCCTAGCCGACACGGAGGTGGCTGGGGCCCTGAGGACGGCGGCGGCGGCAGCTCTGGGCAGGGAGCCGTCTGCCAAGGACACCGGCTCCATTGTGAAGTGGCAGGTTCCTGGGACGACTAACAGTCCCCCTCGGCCTGGCCAGCCCCACGCCCCTCCGCGGCCAGGGCCGAGGCTCCCCGGGCTCCCCTTGGGAGTCCTGCCTTGCTGACCGG